GGGGGGGATTTTAATCTTGAATATATGTATATAGTCTTCAGAAGTACTAGACACGTACGGAATTCCTTTAAACATAATTCAAACTGGGAATTTTACTCACTATTTCTGTATATCCTTTCTATATACCACAGAGTATTTTAAAATGACAAGCCGTTATTTTATTATTCACACGCAGACAATTCTGGACACATGGAATAAAATTTGGACAGTGAGCTGTGAACACTATTACTGATTAACTAAGATTAAAAAAAAAAATCCAGTTTCTGTGACTAAGGTATGATTGGCCAAAGAAATGGCGCACCTGTCCCTTTAAAGTTATAAACTGTTCAACAATAGCACTATATTGTAGATCTTAAAGTAAGTATCTGGGATTCTGGTTTGTGATGAACCATTATTCATTAATACGATATTAATGAATCAATAATGAATGGGTGATAAAATAGTGTTGACAATGATGTTATTAATTTATTATTTTTATTGATGAGATTAAACGAAAGAAAAACATAATGGACGCAATATCGAATTATTCTATTGTTTTAGTTCAACATTTACAAGATTGTCAATCGAGTTACATCAAAATATAATCACATTAATAGAAAATCACGAAACGAGGTTAAGTAAAGTACCTATCTCAGATAGATGATCTGATTATAATAATCGGAAAATAAATAAAACAGGAAAATATTCAGGTAGTTGTAACATCAAACAACAATCTTTTAATGGGATTTTTCAAGAGGTTTTTCTAAACGTTTTATGTGTTTCAGGGACACTGATAGCATCAATTTACACCATTCCTATTTTCAGTCAAATGTCTTTGGTTCCAGCAATTCCACTAAAACGCTAAAACTAAGTGTTTGATAACGTAACCATACAAGCATATTATATTAGCATCATCAAACACTAAGGATTTGTGTGTCGAACTTGCGATCATGTACGCTACCTATTTCTTATTTTTTTCAAAACAAAAAGACCGTCAAAAATTTCCTTATGAATGACCTACTTTCTTGCGTTGACCAAAAGTTATTATACATAATTTCAAGTGCGACGCCCAGTAAAATTATATTGGGAACCCGCTTTAATGGCCATCGGTACGGTATCGTACAAAAAACAGACCGATTGCGAATCACTTTAACTTCCCCGACCACTCCATTGAAGACTTGTTAGTTATGCCTATCGAAACTGTTTAGCCGATGCTTAACACTAAACCAAAACATAGAAGATACAGCGCGAGAGCT